ATATAAAACACACAAATCGGACACATCACAAGAATAACAGAACTAGGCAAGACTCTTAAAATTTCAATTCTACAGAAAAGGTTTTCTAAAGACACTTGTAACATCCCCTAAAATCTCAACTCTAACTCCACCAAAAATCCTCAACTCCGAAGTTGGAGTTGCCTAGCTCTGGGCTATCGATCCTGGGAAAAAATCAGTTTGAATCCATTGTAAGTTTCTGCGACACAACAGGATTTTCCAAAGCAACCTGTTTTAAGAAACTCTCCTGGAACGATATGTGCTTATGAAAACACGCTCCCAAGTCTCCTTTTTACACATAAGAGTTATGTAGACACATTAGTCATTAGGTAGCTGACAAAGTTTGATCTATAATTCCAGTGTCTATGGCGCAGCGCAATCCGAAAGGCGCAATACTTTTTTTCTCTTGTTACAAGGAAGTGGAAAATCATTTTTGTAGTTAACTTACAACTCTTTGAAATAAAAAAAAGCTGTAGTTGTCATTCTTTTTTGTTGGAGTCGATGTGAAGAAAAAAATTCCTGATTTTCTCTAATCATTTATAAGTCAATATAAAAAGTTGAAAAGAACTGTAATGCAGTACAAATAATATATTACTAACGATAATTGTGAGTAAACATTTTTTGTTTTGTCTGTAGCAGTTACACTCATTCTTTTTCTGGGTATACAAAAAAGCTTTTCTGCCTTTAAATGGTGAGTCAAATCCTAAGTGTTTGAATAGTTGTTAGTTGGAAAAAAAAGCATAAAAATTATGAAAACTAAATTACGCATAAATGAAAAAAACATTCTTATCATCAAAAGCAAAAATAGTATAATCATTGAGAAGGTATAAAATTGGCTGAAAGGTAAATAAGAAGTATGCGATTGCAGAGTACACGTTTTATGAATCTCTCACGTAAACCGTATAGATTGAACAGTATGTGCATAAAAGGTAGATTGTAGTTTGAGCCGAAACAGCGGCCTTTTACGGTCTGTTTTTCACAGGCAAAAAATATTTTTACTTTGTTTTTTGAGAACACGTTCTACCAAAAAATCTTAGTCCTTCACAGCTTTTTGTTCAGGTTATATAAAAAAGCAAGAAATAAGGTGGAAGGTACATTAAATTATATTATATTATAGCTATTATACGTTAGAGAACAATAGTATATATCGGATCTTTTCATGTTACACCGTTACCGAAGAACTTCATTCTTTGTTATAACTATGAAGGAGTAGCTTAGAAAGCTCAAAGTATTTTTCAATAAAACTATTAGTTTTAGCGCAAATTTAGTTAGGTAAAAGACAGTCGATTCAATGAACATAGTACTGAGATCCGGGGATGTTACAAGTGTCTTTAGAAAACCTTTTCTGTAGAATTGAAATTTTAAGAGTCTTGCCTAGTTCTGTTATTCTTGTGATGTGTCCGATTTGTGTGTTTTATATCAGGCTGATAATCCTTACTGTTTAGTCATTTCATACGTTCTGCAGACTGGATTTAAAATATTTAGAAAATAGCCCGTTTTACTCGTTTTGCATGATGAATGAGCTAGAAATGTAGAAGTCTCCAGTTTCTTGTTCAACAAATTTCCTGGATATCTTAAGGCCTAATTATGTCAAGTTCAGTTTTTTAAACTCAATTTTACACGGTAAATGAGTATAAAATATTTCCGGCAGATAAACAGATCGATATACTGACAAAATTTGACTTGTTTTTGAAAAGTTAATCTTTTCTCAACTAACGCTCATACTTGAATTTCTTCAAATTTTCTGGCATAAAAATCATGAACAAATCTTCTTGTCTTCAAGTCTTACAGTTTAGGAGTTTTCCAGAGATCAAGGTTCAAAAGGAACTCTGAGGTTTCTTCCAAGGTTTTTAAAATACTTCAAGCTGGAGAGTTCGGGTTTGTTTTATTTTAAACCAGACACCCAACTACATAGACTGATCAACACTGATTTTTCAGTCAAGCCTTTCGTTTTTTCAGGCAACCAACAACCGAAAAAACCTTCCGGATTTTTCTAACAATCTTCAGTTTGACAAAAAACCGCTATTAAAAAACTTGGGAAATACTTCGAGCGTAACTTCCATGTAGAGAAAACGCCGTATGAAATGCTGTATTAAAACAATAAATTCAATTCCATAACTATCCAAGAAAAGGCTATTATTGGAAGATCCGGTTTTCGAGACTCCTAGAAAACTTGCTTGAAAGCGCAAAAAATTACTTCTATAACTGAAAGTAGACCCTTTACGCTTTCAAAGTGCGTATCTCAGAACAGGTTTTTTGACCGAAAACCACCATTTCTGATGGGGGGGCTGAAATGAGAAGAGAGAGAAATTTTTTCTGTCTGCATTTTTTGTATTTCATTTCACCTTGACATTTCGCGCTAAACAGCTTCCATGCAATGTTTGTAACGAATTGAACTAGGATTTTTTTATAAAAAAGATAAATATAAATAAATCCAGACTGTGAAAGGCAAAAAAGTTGTTCAAGAAATATGTAGCGACTAATTCAGTCTGGAATACCCATTATATCTGTATTGGGAAGTGTACCTATTAACAGTCTCGATTAAAAGAAACAGCTTTAGTTTCCCATTACACAGTATCATCTTCCCACTGGTCATATTCTGACTTACAGTACTCTTGACATTCTAGTGCGTGAAAAGTATTGCTATAAGATATTGCTGAAGTAGTCGTTAATGATCCGATCTATTTTATCACGCTTAAATGGAACTGCTGTATTCGTTCCGTTGAGTGTACTAGAGCTAATTAGATAGCAAACGTCTATCTGCTAATTTTTTATCTCAATATAAACGTACAGTGTTTAGTATATTTTTACATAGGCATTTTTAACGGTACTTTCCTAACTAATGGGATCTTATAGTAATATTTATCGGTAGATTATTTGAAGCTTATTCAGCACAAAGCTAATTGATTTAGTCCCGATTCGTCGACACGTTAACTAATTTTCCTGATTCGTCGACACTTTATAGTGTCGGCGGCCCACAGACATATTTCATCTGCCCGCCCAAGCACGAAAAAAGATCATGAAGCGGTCGCTGCATCTAGATTAAAAGGTACATTTATCTAGCTTCAGCTAGATTCAATCTAGCTTCAACTAGGTACAACTAGTTGCTATCGATTAATTGGGCAATTCATTGCGCCATTAATTGACCAATACACAGCTAGTACACGATTTCTATCAGCATGTAGCTAGACAAAATTTACCTTTTAATCTAGTTAATCTAGTTGTAAGTGGGCGCTGCAGCTATTTTTGCAGCTAGATTTTCTCGCTTACTCAGTTTTGCTTGGGCGCCCAAAATGTTGTCGATGAGTCAGGAAAAAAACTTGATATTTCGACAAATCGGGAACACATCAGCTGATTAAATACTTAACATCTGCTTGTTTTTGTTTAGATATAACTGAGTATGCAGGCTACATTCAGTGATCTGTCTCCAGAAGTAATATTATTAATATTTAACGAACTTGATCCAATCAATGTATTATACTCTTTTTATGGTATATGTGGACGCATAAATTTCATCATAAAAGAATTATATGTTCCAGACCATTGTATCAACTTAATTGATATTTCATGATTGAAAATAATCAACTATTTGACAAAGACAGTCATTCCATTCATTTCATCAAATATAGTTTCTTTGAAAATTGATCAAAATTTGTTTGGATTATTTGAAAGTGATAGTTTATTGGAAACATTTAACAATTTAAGAAAACTTTCATTAATAAACCCAAAGAGTATTAATGAATTGTTGCCATTTACTTATATATTTAAACAATTATACGAATTAGCTGTTTCATTCGATCGATCTTTTAACGATAACCAATTCGTTAGTCAATATATATTTTCATTAAAAAATGGTGAATCGCTAACAAAATGTTCTATTCAACATTTTTGTGATCATGGTCTACTATTGAATAAACAATTGATAAAACGTGGCACTTCTTTCATTAAACACTTGACTATTAATTTACATAAATTTGATGATTTCTTTATTATTCTTGATAATTTAACATTTCTTCAATATTTCAATGTTCAAATATATGATATAGGATACAATTATGTTGAAACAAACAATAATAACAACTTGGTATCAAATTTAGTTGAGTTACAGATAACGTTCATTAAACCTATTATTATGAATCATTATCAAAGAATAGAGATGTCACTACAAAAACTTCATACATTAACATATTTATCATTTAAAATAAATAAATTATCAAGCTTCATAGTCGATGGTAATAGGTTAGAAAATGGTTTATTATTATATATGAAAAATCTCAAGAAATTTGATTTTCATATTATTAGTATTGGAACAAATTTTGAATCATCGCATATTATGTCAACATTTAAAACGACGTATTGGTGTCAAGAACATAATTGGCATGTTGGTTGTTATTCTAACTCAGAATATAAATATTTTCACCTATTTTCATTACCATTTGCTTATAGTAATCTGGATCAAATAGGTCTTAATTTCTTTTATGGTACAATGAACGTTGAAAATATATGGTTTGATGAGGATGGAAAAAAGTGCGTTGAAGATGCACATTACACAAATATCAACGGATGGAAGAATGTGCGTGAATTACAACTAGTATCAAACGATTGCTCAACCACTCAGTCGATTTTTATAACAGAGCTAATAGATATATTTCAGATAGAAGAATTTTATAATTTAAAAAAAATCACATTTAACAGTTTTGAATTTTCAGATCCTGATGAAATTAATTATTCGTATTTCAAATTTATAAAACCTGAAACATTAATCCTAAATGATTGTTCAATTAAAAATTATAATACAATGAAAGCCTTATTATTGTTAATGCACGGTCATTTTAGAGAAATGAAATTTGACTACAATCAACTTTCATCATTAATATTCAATAAGCATAGTCAATTCGAATTTGATCCAAATGGATATTCAAAAACGACCCCATTTGAATACTGTAGTTTTGAAGGTAATGATGAAGATGACTTTTTTAAAAGTTGTCGTATTGGAGATAATGAAGATAAAAATTTTGATATATGTCAAGAACTTTATGATATATTCAATCGAGTTATTATATTAGAGTTATGTGCAAGTAGAATTGAAAACGAATTAGATACATTTTCAACAATTCTTCGGTACTTATTTGTGAACGTAGAAGATTTTACATTGAATTTATGCGATGAGGTGTATAGTTTATGTCAAATTGTGGAATGTATTGTATCTTGTATGCACAAGTTGTCTCATTTGCATATTTATAACTTTTGGACATGGGATAGTGATTATAGTGTTAAAGAATTTATCAGTGAAAAATTTAACCCGAATCTATTTGACATTAAATATCAAGCTGAAGATATTCCACGACATCCTCGATATAGAATGGGAATATTAGAAATTAAGAATCGTTATTCATATACTAGATGCTGAAATTAATTTCACATATGTACTATACAAAATAACTATTAACGTCGACTAATTAGTTTACCCAAGAGAACGAAAATGCTTGGAAATGTATATTACACTCCGCCCATTAATTAGTTCACACTGTGATGCTTAAACCTCAGTTTTAAAAACTTTATAGCTTGGCAAAGAAACGTCAAAAAACAAAAACGGAAAAAAACACCTCTGAAAATATATTGTCTATTTTATATGGTAAAAGGCAGCCCAGTCAGATGGAATTTAGGGGTAGTCATAATGTACCGAGGTTGAGACCGGTAGTGTTTTGAGTTCTGTAAGCTCTGATGAATAATGGTAGAAAAACGCTGCTTTTCATAGAACCCAAGCAAAAAAATCATACAGGAAAATATCTAGATATTTTCTCGTTGTCTCGGGCAATCCTATTATGGAATATCTAGGTATAGGTGTCACTTTTATGGGTTATCTATATATATTAGGCACGGTATCTAGTGCATCCAGATATCGTCTCAATATATTGGAATGCTAGAAAAGGCTAGTGTGAGGAGCTACGGTCCCCGATATAATGGTCTGTTATAAGATAAGATAAGATAAGATTTTTATTTTTTACTCAAGAGAGCAGGATACACAAAAAAGAACAAGAGACTTGTGGCATCCGTGGATACCCTGTGATAACCTAAAACTAAAAATTTAAAAATATAAAAAAGTATCGCCCAATATATCGACTCATGTATTGACAGCAAAAAAGGATGCTGTCTGCATTGCACCCCGGGATGTCTGTATGTTGACATCCTGCTTTCTGTAATATATTGGTCTATTATTGCTCAATATACTGACCTGATATGAATAAAAACTTTGTAAGTTTATGGAGTATATGTGTTACATATCTAGGTGCTGTGGTTGCAAAACAAAAAGGTGAATAATCCAACCGTCGATATATCGAGTAATAAAGTCGTATAATTGAGTCTGTTTTTAAATTTTGTTTTCGTGTTTGTGAATATGTTGATTACCAGGAAAAATTAATCTTTCTACTAGGAGAATTTTAAATTTCACTGGATTTTAATTCTAATACAACATATGTATCCAGTAATTATGTCTATCTTCATCTGCTTTTGATAGACATCTTTTGTGTGTGGCAGAGAACATTGTTGGTTACCAGAATTTTTTGATTGTGCTTCTCTGCAATATTTTTCAGTCACATGCGAATAACGAGACGTCCTACCAATTTTTCTTGATGCTAACATATTTATTCAACTATATTTCTGTACGTTTTGGCTAACATAGCCGCATTATGATTATCGACAAACTCATTACAGGTAAATAAGTGTATAGATTCCTCATGATATAGTTTTGGTTGACATCTTTTAACACATTTTTTCAGTAGTTCTCCATCTTCTTTCGCCAATAGTTCGGATTTCTTTTTTAATTGCATAAAACGCAGTTTCCTTTGTTCTCTGACAGATTGTCAATTCCGAATATTCAAACAAATTTGTCCATTAATCAACAATGTTGTCTGCGACACAAAGTGGTGATCCGAAAACAGGTGGTAGCTGATAGAACTCACCGATTGCAACCATATATATTCTCAAAATAAATACTAGCACCCACTGGACGCATTATTTGGTATAATCACGCATGAAATTTTTTCCATAATATCTGATCAATAAGAGATATTTGATCAATAAATAAAATCGCCAATCCATCTGGTTTAGAACGTAGTGCATACTGAGAACGCGCTAACTTTTTAGATCTATCACGCATTTTTCGTATGTACTTTTCGCGAATTTGTTCAGCTAACGTCGTATAGAAAAACGTGCTTGTTTATTTTTGTTAGGTTTAACTGGTTCGCTAAATTGTTGCATTAGCCGTTTTCTTAGGTAACGAACAGTCAGATTTGACTAAAATATCTTTCATTTGTCGTTGGAGTTTTAACGAATTCTCTCGATAGTGTTTTTTTATCATGAAGAGCTTATGTGGTCGACGTTTTGATGTACGATATAGGCAAGGAGGAGGAAACAGCTGATTTTTGAATTTTTCCGATTTTTGTCGATTTTGCTGATTTTCATCGATTTTCACCAAATGAAAGATCACAGGAAATGACTGGAAGTCATTGAAAATCACAGAGAATCACTGAGAATCAGTGAAAATCAATTGATTTTGGGTGATTTTCGACTTATTTTGGGCTGATTTCAGTCTGCTGTTTCCCCCTTGAAAAAATGACATAAGAAAAACTACTAGACGCTAAAGATCATAATACAAAAGTGAAAAGTCCATTGAGTATGATCAGGAGAACAAATTCTTGAAGAGGGGGATGCCTGGGGTAACAAATTTTTAAATGTGGGGCTGTCTGTCCCCTTATGGCGGGACACCTAGCAATCCCGAAACTAAGTGGACTATATGTAGTTGATGACGCTGATTCCAAATATGAACATCACAGTTGCCCTTAGGCTTTTATTCGCAGTTTTTCAGAAAACTCGATCTTCAGAAAACCAGAGACCAAATCCAGAAACGCTTTCTGAATTGGCCATTTTGTAGGACTGTCTATGTCCTATAAGTCTGACTTTTCAAAAAAACAACCCACAGCGTAGGAAAATTTGCGAAAAGAGTAGCTACGCTACTCCACAAGCCATTCGTCTGACTCTCAAATGTGAGACTAATGATGTTTTTTGTTTATCAATATTTGTACTGGTTTTCTTTTCGTGCTCTTTTGTTCTCCTCTTTACCATTTTGTTTGTATCATCTCTTCTTCCTCTATGGACATGTGACAAAGTTATCTGCCTAGATTCTTAATCAAACGCAGTTTTTATTTTGTTACAAACTTTTGCACTAGCAATGTTTTTTTTCGTGTATCCATGGCTATGCCAGAATAAACTGAACTGAACTGAACGCCGACTTTCATGGAAAAATGTTGCCGTTAGGATACTTTGCAAAAGCCACACCACCGTTCAACGATATTTTGAAAAACTAAAACTTACGGAATATAGACACTTTTGTGTCCTCAAATAAATGGTCAATTTAGAAAAATTTTCGGAATTTGGTCCGTGAAGATCCAGTTTTAGAAAAATGGTGAACAAAAGCCTAAGCGAAACTCCGATGTTCATATTAGGGATCAGCGTCATCAATTACATATAGCCCACGTAAGGCGTGGTGTAAAAGTCTTGCTTTAAATGTTGAACATTATTTCTGCATATTTCCCATGTGCTAAAGAGTTAATTATTTTTCATTGAGAAGAGCAAAGGGTGAAGTTCAAAAAAATATAGAAAACAAAATTCTTGCGATTGACTTTGAGGAAGAAAAAAGTTTGATACCAAACGTCGCCGAAAAAGCTCTTGCAACGTACTTTTTTTCTTCATTTTTTACTAGGTCCAGAACAAAAGAAAACTTTTTTGAAAATCAAATACGTGAGAATGCAGCCCGTGCATAAGTCCATCAACTTCTCTAGTTTAGAAAGTTTCTCAGCAATTCTTTAAAAGTAAATAAAACACCTTAGAAGTCTTACGAGGGAACCTCGTCGAGGTGATAAATCGCTTTTTCATCGAGATCTAGTGGGTTATAGGTTATCGACCATGCTGATTCCGAATATGACCATGGACTTCCACATAGCGCTTCAAAGATTCGGTCTTCTGGAAAACCAGTTCTTCAGAAACTCTAGAAAATAACACAAACATTTCTTCACAGTACAGGATTGTATTTCAGATTAAAATGAGACACCCCCAGCTCTACATAACCTTTCTTTGCAAAGTTATAGAATTTATAACAAAAGCCTTAAATTGTTGATTGTTAGCTCAAAGCTACAGAAATAATTAATTTAGGGCTTTTTTTATAAATTCTATAACTTTTGCAAAGAAAGGTCGTGTAGAGCTGGGGATGCCTCATTTTTCATCAGAAATTTGCGGGCTACAATACTGTATTGTTAAGAAACGTTTGGATTATTTTCTAGAGTTTCTTAAAAACTGGTTTTCCAGAAGTCCGGACCTTTGAAGCACTATGGGCAGCCCCCACGATCATATACGGGATCAGCATGGTCGATAACCTATAACCCACTAGATTTCGATCAAAAAGCGATTTATCACCTCTTGACGTTCCCCCGTTAGTTTTGATAGAAACCACAACTTTGCACTGAAAAGATGCGCTATCGAGAAAAATTCGGTATTCAGGGCTATAAACATGTTAGGAAAGGTTAAAACTAATGTGAGTTTGTAGAGATTTGCATGCTATTCCATAAAACGTGCTTTAGAAAAAGCAGGAACTTCGTTCAGCATCTAAAAGTTATTAATTAAGTATAAATACCTGTTTCTTTGAAACTAATGAAAACCGTGCAAAGTTCCTGTCGAAAAGTGAATCAAAACATAATTTACCAAAGCTCATTTGAAAGAGTGGTAAAAACACTTCTTGTTTCTATAATTATATAATTTCAAACGTATTCTGTTATAGGGAAAAATATGTTTGATGCGAGAGATACGGTTGAACAGGACGGAAGTTGCAAGAACTTTTTTGGCGACCTATCGGACTTTTCTTCGTCCTCAAAGTCAATCGCAAAAATTTTGTTTTCTTGTTTTTTGAAGTTTAGACGTTGCTGTTTCCAATGAAAAAATATTTGACTCTTGAGCACATTGGGAACTTGCAGAAATAATGTTCGACATTTAATGCAAGATTTTTGCACCACTCGTTAGTGCCATCGAAAAAACGATTTACAACTTGGGATCCTTCCCTCGTAAACCATATCGTTCTTGAATAATTACACCAGGTAGTATCTTTTATTTTATCGACATTTTTTAATAACTGACCATCTTGCTTCATGAATGCACCATGTAGAAAATAATGTGTTTTAATTGGTGCAAATGCAACTGCAAATTTTACATCATCTGTTACATGGATGAACATATAAAGGTGATGTTGTTAATTCCCATACTAACCATACTGAAGTAACGTTTAATATTTCCTGTTCATCTTTATTGGTTCAACGACGGTGATATGCTGACATTAAATCACCATGCTCAGCATTGAGTATC